ACCACAGAGATTTCTCACAGTTCTGGAGGCCAGGAGTCTGAAATCAAGGGGTTTTGGATTGTTTGTTTGTTTTTCCTGTGAAGGCTATGAGGGAGGGTCTGTCCCAGGTCTCCTCCTGAATTCTCAGAGCCTCCAGAGTTCCCGGGCTTGTAGGTGGTCTTCTGTCTCTGTCTTGACCTTATCTTCCCTTTGAAGGAGGTGTCTTTGTCCACATATTCCTTTTTTTTTTTTTTTTTTTTTCACGGAGTTTCACTGGGTAACAAGTTACCCAGGCTGGAGTGCAATGGTGTGAACTCGGCTCACCGCAACCTCCGCCTCCTGGGCTCAAGCAGTTCTCCTGCCTCAGCCTCCCATGTAGCTGGGACTACAGATGCGTGCCACCATACCCAGCTAAGTTTTGTATTTTTAGAAGAGACGTGGTTTCACCATGTTGACCAGGATGGTCTCAATCTCTTGATCCACCCACCTCAGCCTACCAAAGTGCTGGGATTATAGGCGTGAGCCACTGCGCCCGGCTATATATCCCTTTTTATAAGGGCACCAGGCACACAGGATTAGGATTCACCCTCATTACCTCAGCTTAGCTTGATCACATGTGAAGAGCCTATTTCCATATAAGGCCACATCCACAGACCCTGCAGCATACGGCTTCAGCATCTTTTGGGGAGACATAGGACAATGCCTAATGTTTTAGATTTGCAAATATTTTTAGTTTGAGTTTCCAGGTTTTATTTTTTCTTTTTTGCATCAGATGGGTGATGTGACGATACCGTAACAAGTTTTGAGGAAGGCACATATTATAAAATAGCATAAAAACCCAAACGTCATGCTTAGGTTTTGGTTTTTTAATTTTAATTTTTCTTGAGGCAGGGTCTTGCTCCATTACTCAGGCTGGAGGGCAGTGGTGCAAACATGGCTCACTGCAGCCTCGACCTTCTGGGCTCCAGCGATCTTCCCAACTCAGCCCCCCAAAGTGCTAGGATTACAGGAATGAGGCACCCCCGGCCATTTCTTATTTTTTGTTTGCACCTTGTTCTTTTTTCTCAAAATTACACCTTTGCAGCTGGGCATGCTGGCTAATGCCTG